CCGGGGGCCAAGGCTTCAGTGAGTCATGATCACACCACTGCACCCAAACCTGGGGGAGAGAGCGAGACTCTTGCCTCAAAAAAAAAAAAAAAAAAAAAAAAGGATCCAAGGTCACCTCTGCCAAAGCCACAGTCTGTTCCTTTCACGGCCACCAGATGGCGACGTGAGCCTGAGTCAGGTCCTGTCCCTCAACCCACAGCCCTTGCCGGCTTTCCCAGCTCTCGGGATGAAAGCGCAAGTCCTCAGGGTGGCACATCAGGCCCTGCATGACCCGCCCCGCCACTCCCCTGCCCTCCCATCGTTTGCCCTGGGTCTCCCTCACCGGAATGGGAGCCAGGAGTCCCAGCCAGGCACAGGGCCGAGCCTGGCATTCCGAGGGACTCGGCCAGCAGATGATGATCTGGGAGCAGCTCCTTGGCCAGAGGCTTACAGGCAACAAGCGGCCCAGCAGGGTCTGGCCCCGGGCCGCTGGGCTCACAAAGTCACACTAGACCACGGTGAAGGTCTCTCTTCTGTAAGCACAAAGGGACTCCGATGTGGGTGGGATGAGGAGAGAGGCAGCGCCACCCTGACTGTCCCCCACCCCGCCCCCAGGCCTAAATGTGCACAGCATGCTCAAGCACCAGACGCTGGTCCTGACGCTGCCCACCATCGCCTTCCTGGAGGACAAGCTGCTCTGGCAGGACTCGCGTTACAAACCCCTCTACCCCTTCAACCTGCCCTACAGCAACTTCCCCTGACCCCCGCGCCACGCTACCCAGGGCCCGGTGGCCACCCCGTACCACTCGTGATGTGAAGCACCTCTTCTGAGCCAGGCAGAGCCCGTGGCTGACTTGGGAGCCTCAGGCCCACGTCCACCCTTCGAGGACAGTGCCACCTGGACCCCCTCATTCCAGGGAGGAAACTGAGGCCACAGGGAGTGGCCATCGCCACTGGGAAGGGGCGACTCCACAGAGAGCCCAGGCGGGCTCCTGCATCCATTCTCTCTTTGTTTTTAAAATAAATTGTATTTTTGAATCAAGGAGGATAAACAGATAACTTCCCAGTGTCATTTTTAATAACTGCATTGGGCACGTTGGGCTCCTTCCCGGGTTCTGGGCACCGCTGAGGATCCGCCATCTCAAGAGGCTCACAGTCTGGTTTAAGGGAACCCCAGGGCTGTTTGTGGAAATTACAAGAATTCACTTACCCGGTGAGTCAGACTCCCGGAGCTCACAGGTGCGTGGGCGCCAGCACTTCCTAGGAGCTGACTCCTGTCACATCCTTCTCCTGAGCACTGCTGCCAGCCATTCCCACCCCGGGAGTGTTTGCAGTCCTGTCTGCGACAGTACTTCATGCAGCCTGAGAGCGTGTGCTTGATTGTGCAATTCGATGTCATGTGTAAACCTGAGTTTTCAGAGTGACTTCCTGTAAGCACAGTCAGAAAAGTAAATGTCTCGCTGTAAGTGAGCAGATAAGCACATGTTTAAAAACACCAGCTGGGCGTGGTAACTCGCACCTGTAACTTTAGCACTTTGGGAGGTCAAGGTGGGAGGAGCACTTGAGCCCAGGAGTTCCAGACCAGCCTGGGCAACATGGTGAAACCCTGTCTCTGCAAAAAATACAAAAATTAAGTGGGCATGGTGGTGTCTACCTGTGGTCCCAGCTACTTGGGAGGCTGAGGTGGGAGGATCACCTGAGCCCAGGAAGCAGAGGTTGCAGTGAGCAGAGATCGAGCCACCACACTCCAGCATGGGTGACAAAGTGAGACACTGTCTTAAAAAGAAAACCAGCATCCCAATTTTTGATTTTGCTGAGGTTGTTTGCCTACCAAGTTAATTTTTCTTAACAGCCATAACAGACTATAATGCAGACAATGTGATCGATTTATTTAAAGTCAACCAGCTGGGTGCGGTGACTCACGCCTATAATCCCAGAACTTTGGGAGGCTCAGCCAGGTGGATCACCAGAGGTCAGGAGTTTTGAGACCACCCTGGCCAAGCCGGGAGTGGTGGCGGGCGCCTGTAATCCCAGCTACTCAGGAGGCTGAGGCAGGAGAATTACTGGAATCCAGGAGGCAGAGGTTGCAGTGAGCCAAGATAGTGCCACTGTGCTCCAGCCTGGATGACAGAGGGAGACTCCGTCTATAAATAAATAAAATAAAGTTAATCAGGACTGCCTTCTGCCTGTGTGGGCCTGGCCAGGCTAAGCGGCCACACAGCCATCCCTAGCTGCTGGGCCACCCCGACTGAAAACATCTCTGGAATTCCTCTCTCGGGATTGCCTTCGGAGATTGCAACACATTCTCCAAACACCCTCAGTGGACATAGACTTTGCTCCTTGAAGCAGCAGATTTGACTAAATAAAAAAGAAAAAGCTATTAAAACCAGTTGGCCGAGCGTGGTGTCTCACGCCTGTAATCCCAGCACTTTGGGAGGCCGAGGCTGGTGGATCACGAGGTCAGGAGATCGAGACCATCCCGGCTAACACGGTAAAACCCTGTCTGTACTAAAAATACAAAAAATTAGCCGGTCGTGGTGGCGGGCACCTGCAGTCCCAGCTACTCAGGAGGTTGAGGCAGGAGAATGGCATGAACCCGGGAGGCAGAGCTTGCAGTGAGCCAAGATCACGCCACTACACTCCAGCCTGGGTGACAGAGTGAGACTCAGTCTCAAAAACAACAACAGCAAAAAAAAAAAACAAAACAGTTAAGGCCAGGTGCAGTGGCTCACGCCTATAATCCCAGCACTTTGGGAGGCCTAGGTGGGTGGATCACGAGGTCAAGAGATCAAGACCATCCTGGCCAACATGGTGAAACCCAGTCTCTACTAAAAGTACAAAACATTAGCTGGGCGTGGTGGTGGGTGCCTGTAGTCTCGAAAATGCCACCTCACTACTGTTCCTCTTGCCAGTCTTGTTGGGGCATCAAGGCCTAGAGTAACACCCAGCTGTTGTCCTGACAGTGCCTGGCCCAGCCTGGAGAGTTGCAGCCAGGAGTATAAATGTGGTTCAGTCTGCGTCATACCTGTCAGGAAACATGGTGAGACCAACTGCTGCCCAGACAGATTTTCAAAAGAAATGGGTCAGAACGTATTCCCCCACACCGGAATCCCTCAGCCAGATTGAGGATAAAAACAGGCATCAGAAAAAAAATGATACAGACGGGCCTGGTGGCTCATGCCTGTAATCCCAGCACTTTGGGAGGTTGAGGCGGGAGGATCGCTTGAGCACAGGAGTTTGAGACCAGCCTGGGCAACATAGTGAGACCCTATCTCTACTAAAAATAAAACAGTTAGCTGGGTATGGTGGTGTGGCTGTGGTCCCAGCTACTTTGGAGGCTGAGGCAGGAGGATCGCTTGAGCCCTGGGGGTGGAGGCTGCAGTGAGCTGAGATCGCACCACTGCAATCCAGCCTGGGCAACAGATCAAGACCCTGACTCAAAAAAAAGAAGAAAGAAAAGAAAAGAAAAGAAAGAAAAGAAAAGAGAAGAAAACTATCATACACTGCCTAGAATGTGCTTTAAAATAATTGGCATAGTTGGATATGGTGGCATGCACCTGCAGTCCCAGCTACTTGGAAGGCTGTGGCCAGGAGTTTGAGACCAGCCTGGGCAACACAGCAAGACCTCGTCTCTATAAAAAATAGGCCGGGAGCAGTGGCTCATGCCTGTAATCCCAGCACTTTGGGAGGCCAAGGCAGGTGGATCACTAGAGGACAGGAGTTCAAGACAGGCCTGGCCAATATGGTGAAACCCCGTCTCTACTAAAAATACAAAAATTGGTGGGACATGGTGGCAGGTGTCTATAATCCCAGCTACTTGGGAGGCTGAGGCAGGAGAAGCGCTTGAACCTGGGAGGCGAAGGTTGCAGTGAGCCGAGGTCACACCACTGCCCTCAAGCCTGGGGTGACAGTGCAAGACTTGGTCTAGAAAAAAAATGAATAATGAATGAAGGAATTAATGAATTAATCAGTTAATTAAATAGGTGGGGTATACAAGTTTGTTAGGGCTGCTATAGGAGTGCCACAAACTGTGGGGGTTGGGGGGTTAGTCAACAGAAATTTATTCTCTCCTGTTTCTGGAGGTTGGAAATCCAAGACGAAGAACAGGATTAGCTCCTTCTAAGGGAGTCTGTTCCAGATCCCTCTCCTAGCCTCTGGCGGTTTGCTTTGCTGACAATATTTGACATTCCTTGGCTTGTAGCCACACTGCTTCAGTCTCCACCTTCATCTTTACATGACGTTGTCCCTGTGGGTATGTGTCTGTGTCTGTGTCCAAATTTCTTTTTTTTTTCATTTTTTTCTTTTTCTTTTTTTTTTTTTTCAGACAGCGTCTCACTCTCTTGCCCAGGCTGGAGTGCAGTGGCTCGATCTTGGCATACTTGCAACTTCCGCCTCCTGGATTCAAGTGATTCTCCTGCCTCAGCCTCCAGAGTAGCTGGGATTACAGGCACACACAACCAAACCCGGCTAATTTTTGTATTTTTAGTAGAGACAGGGTTTCACCATATTGGTCAGGCTGGTCTCGAACTCCTGACCTCAGGTGATCCACCCACTCTGGCCCCCCAAAGTGCTGGGATTACAAGCGTGAGCCACCGAACCTGGCCTATTTTTTTCTTTTTTCTTTTTTTTTTTTTTCAGATAGAGTTTTGCTCTTCTTGCCCAGGCTGGAGTGCAATGGCGCAATCTCGGCTAATCTCAACCTCCGCCTCCCGGGTTCAGGCAATTCTGCCTCAGCCTCCCGAGTAGCTGGGATTACAGGCATGCTCCACAATACCTCGCTAATTTTGTATTGTTAGCAGAGACAGGGTTTCATCATGTTGGTCAGGCTGGTCTCGGATTCCCAACCTCAGGTGATCCGCCCGCCTCAGCCTCCCAAAGTGCTGAGATTACAGGCATGAGCCACTGAGCCTGGCCCTCTCCTTTCTATTTTTAAAATCTTTTTTGTGGCTGGGAGCAGTGGCTCACGCCTGTAATCCCAGCACTTTGGAAGGCCGAGGCAGGTGGAACACTTGAGGTCAAGAGTTTGAGAACAGCCTGACCAACACAGTGAAACCCCATCTCTACTAAAAATACAAAAGAATTAGCTGGGCGTGGTGCCGGGTGCCTGTATTCTCAGCTACGAGAGGCTGAGGCAGGAGAATCGTTTAAACTCTGGAGGTGGAGGTTGCAGCAAGGTGATATTGTGCCACTGCACTCCAGCCTGGGCAACAGAGCGAGACTCCATCTCTAAATAAATAAGGAAGCTGTTATTTCAGAATTTGGAAGGATGACACTAAGAGTACAGGAATACACAGCTTTTTTGTTTGTTGTTTTTCTGTTTTTTTTTTTTGTTGTTGTTTGTTGTTGTTGTTGAGACAGAGTCTCGCTCTGTCACCCAGGCTGGAGTGCAGTGGTGCAATCTCGGCTCACTGCAATTTCTGCCTCCCGGTTCAAGCAAGGTCTCCTGCCTCAACCCTCCCGAGTAGCTGGGATCATAGGTTGCCCGCCACCACTCCTGGCTAATTTTTGTATTTTTTAGTAGAGACGGGTTTCACCATGTTGGTCAGGCTGATCTCGAACTCTTGACCTCATGATCCCCCCACCTCGGCCTGCCAAAGTGCTTGGGATTACAGGCATGAGCCACCAAGCCTGGATCCAAAAAATAGTTATTAAAACTATGTTAATGCTGGCCGGGCACGGTGGCCTCACACCTGTGAATTCCCAGCACTTGGGAGCCGAGCGGACGGATCACGAGGTCAGGAGATCAAGGACCATCCTGTCTAACACGTTGAAAACCCCGTCTGCACTAAAAAATACAAAAAATTAGCCGGGTGTGTGGGTGGTGGTGCCCGTAGTCTCAGCTACTCGCGGAGGTGAGCGAGCGAGAAATGGCATGAAACCCAGGAGGACGGAGGCTGCAGTGAGCCAAGATTGCGCCACCTGCACTCCAGCCTGGGTGGACAGAGCGAGACTCCATCTCAACAAAACAAAAAAAACAACAATAACCGGGCCGGCGCGTGGCTCACGCCTGTAATCCCAGCACTTTGGGAGGCCGAGACGGCGGCGGCGAGGA